TGTCGCAAATGCTTCGTAAAGAGTGGGAGATAATTGTCATTTGTAAAAAGAGAAATACTTTTCGCAGTGGTCCGTCAAGTCATTCAGTTAGGCCAACAATTGCTGTAGTCTGTAAATTCAGGATAATGATGAATGTTTTGACGATTATTTGAAAATCGTGCATAGTTATACTATCCGATATGCAAATACCCATCATAGAGAAAACTTTGTTGTGTCACCGTCTAAAAAAAAAAATAATTCGCTCTTTATAAGTTGGAAATTGTTTTAATGACAAACCACACCATGATATGTTCTTGTCATTCAAAACGCCAAGAAAAGGAAATTTTTTACTAATCAATCAGTTCTGCTGGAAACCTCATATATAAAATTGCGAAATTTTCCTGAAGGTGCTAGTAAGAAGTATAGTTTGTAGTACTCTATGGTGTTGTGACCGACTGTGAAAGTGACAGCAGAGTCTCTAACTTTAGCGAGAAACTTGTGCTTTCTGATAAATTCTTTGAAATATTATTGCATGTATTTCTTGTCATTTCAATTTAGCTCTCCCAGAATCCATTGGTTCACTTGAAAACCTGGAGTTCTTGAATGTGTTTAATAATCATATTGAGGTATGTCATTTACAAATAGTGTTCACCAGTTATAAGTGCCCAGTATTGCACTGGTTTGATTGCAGGTTTTTGGGAAATGTGCTAAAAAATCTTATAAAAAAGCTTTCAACTTCTCATGTGCATCTTTTTCAGGAGCTGCCCATGTCATTAGGCTCCTTGAAGAAACTAAGACACTTCAATACAGCGTAAGTATTTTGGATTACAAATGTGTACCAACTAAGTGACTGAGAAGGCTGACAGCTGGAATGTAATTGGCTCACAATCATGATATGTAGACTTTTCCATGCTCAGCTCATATGTCATGACCAGCAATGTCCATTCATCCATCCACACTAGCTTAGTACAATAACTGAGGTGAAGAAAGGGAGAAAAGCCCTACTTAAGAAAAGCACTCGAAAGAAGATAATTATAAACTTTCTATAAATTAAAGTGTACATGTCTGTGATTCTTGTGAACTTTGCTAAGCCGACCAGCTGTTCTATAACTTTTTGCCTGATTGTAATGTGTTAGGCATTTGCGGGACAATTGAAACTTAAAGAAGAAACATTATTTTTACTTTTGTAACAGCCATCTCTTTCCCTTAATAAACCTCTTAGATCAGCCCTTGACCAGCAACTAATTTTAGTGGTCACAAACAATTAAATCTCTCTTTCCCTTCTTTGCAGGATTAGTTAGTTGTCTACACTCAGATTTTTCATAGCCTAAGATAATTTGGTTTATCAAAGGTGTTGATAATGTAACTCAGCCATTGTAGAGAGTTTGTATGCTGATGTTTTGAGCTGACTTAGGGCTAATGTGTGATTGATCAGCCTTAAAAAACTCTCTGTAGTGGCCAGTTTACACTATCAACTCAGATGACAAGACCAATTATCTTATAAAAAAACCACTGGTGTAGCACCACATTTTTTTATAAAATTACCCCTATGTTCATTTATCATGAATCAGTTAATGATTGTATTTTTCAGGGTAAATCGACTAAGTTCCCTGCCCAGAGGCTTGGGAACAGCATCTGGATTGGAAATCTTGGATTTAACATATAATAACCTCAATGAGAAGTCACTACCAGGAAACTTCTCTGTTATGAGTAAGTTTTACAAATATCACCAAAGGAAAGGCAGAAAATCAATGCTACCAAACTCCTTGCAAACTTGTCTGGTTTTCTTGCAAGTATATGAAGATTCCCTCATTTTTAGATATAATAGATAAAATCTTTTGCAGCTTTATTTTCATTTACTATTTTTAAAAGTTATGTACTAGGTTGCTAGTACCATGCTGTAAAATAAGGGTTGAATTGAAGGCATTTAAACGAATCTAATGAAAGTACACCTCATTTTCAGAACAGCTCAGAGGCCTCTACCTGGGAGACAATGACTTTGAAACTTTGCCGCCAGAAATAGGAGAGCTCAGAAACCTTCAAGTGGTAACTGCTGAAATTAAGATTATAACAAGATTTAACAAATGTCTTAAATTTTAATACTCATAGCCAAGGACTAAATAGTTATAGTCTTTAGTGTGAATCACGTGAATAAAAATTCAAAACAATTTCATGATACCAAAGGTAAAATGTTTATAAATGTTTTTTACTGTTGCAGCTTGTGTTGAGAGACAATGATCTGATTGAACTACCAAAAGAGCTGGGGAAATTGAGTAGACTGAAGGAACTTCATCTTCAGAACAACAGACTCACTACTCTACCTCCAGAACTAGGTAATGTGTACAGTGTTCAAAATTCTAGAGTCCCCCGCTTCCAAAAGGGGCAAAAGATTAGTTGCAATCAAGTGGATCATTGAGGACAGTTAACATTCTGACTGACAGACCACACCCAACATGCAATCCTAATTTTCTTCTTCCTATGCACAGTACTTGACAACAGTTACTCCAATTTTTAAAATGTTCTCCTGAAATGATTGAATTTGAAGGTGAGCTAGACATGGGTAACCCACGGCATGTATTCAAACCAGAAGGGAATTCATGGATACAGCAGCTTGAAGATCAAATTGTTCTGGGACCATCACATGTGTTTGTGTACATCAAAACTGATGGATACAAGAGGTTTGTTGCACAAGACATTCTTTTCCTCAAATCATTAATCCTTTACCACCCCTCTTCTCACAATGAATGATCTTTACTTCTTTCCCTGCATTTAGTTTGTACGAGCGTCATGTTACTTCTGGTAATGCTCCACCACCAAAGAGGGAGAAGGAAAAGACTCTAAAGCGAAGCAGAAGAAAATGACTTCCCTGGCCTGATAGCTTTGTTATCACAACACTTTATTCAAATTTGAGGTAGAGGAAAATGCTCTCATCAAAAAGTATTCAGCACTTTTTGATAATAAGTACTATTTGTCTAGATTAGGTTACTAATATATGTCCTAGGTCATATCTCATGGAAATGTTTATTTCAAAAATGCAAGAAATACAAAGTGACCATTTAGAGTGAACATACATTTATATTAGAGATTTTTTAAAAATGCTCATCCATATAAGGCAAAGAGTTCCTGGCTAGCTTTGAGGAAATAAGTAATTGAGTATTCTATTTTTATACAATTTTGTAAATAAACATGTGCCCACAAATAGGGCAAAGTATCTTCCAGTACCTGTATTTGCCAACTGTAGATACAAATATGTGCCATGTACAGTTAACCTTATACTGCTGATGTAAACACAACCATAATTAAATCATCCGAACCATTAAATTTAAATTTCTTACCAAAACAGTAAATTTTCAGCTTCATGGTTTTTAAAATGAACCAATGAAAATTCAAGTACTTTAACTTAATGTAATACAATGTTAATTTCAGAAAAGTTCCTTGGGTGTCTTTCAGCATGTACCTCTGAAGTTGGTATGACTGGTCTAAATGTCAACTTTAATTTTGC